GTAACACCTGTGCTCATTAGACTAACAATAAAAACTTTTAGCTCAGTTTTGACAAAATCGACCAAAAAGATTTTATTGTTAGTCTAATTAGAACAGGTGTCACTGAATATTCATGATTATGCATAAGCTTGTTGCTTAGCAACCACGTCATTTCCGGTTTTATGTTTTTGTTGAGGCGTCCTCGAAAGAATTGCTAGTTTAATAGATAAAGTAGCACATATTGATGAAGCAATTCTTCACTTTTGGTTTAAGCTTATGAGCTTATTATAATAAGGATATTTTAGCTATTGAATTTATTACAGTAAACATAGACATTAAATAAGATGAGAAGAAATACACAATTCCATTTTATATTTATTTTAAAGCACTGAAATTAAGTTGTGATGTATACGGTATATACATTTTATATTTATATACTGTAGGCCTATATCATAAATCTGATTTTAATCCTCAAAATGTTATATCTTATTATTGTACATGTCTATATGCTTTACAACAAACAGGTTACTTTCTCTAATAATAAGATAAACATTAGAAGTAATAATACAATATTAATAAACATAAAGCCTACAAGAATAACTACATATTGCTAACATTATTTTTTAAATTATTGCAGAGGAAAACATTTTAAAAATAAAATTTAAACTATATTTTTATTAATTTCATATCCAGATTTTTTTGCAGGAAGCTTGATGAATGACACAATTTTTGGCTATCTATGAATAATTGGTAAGTTCTGTTGCCCTTTCACGATTGAGTCCGGACATTCTTTCCTGATAGTTGTGGCTTATTTGTCTACGTCACTGGAATAGAAAAATATTGAGAAAAGATTAGAAAACACAGAAAAAATTGTAACGAAGTATCATCAAAACATAATATGTAAATAAAAACAGAGGCAGAGCAAGTAAGCAATAGAGGCGGCCCACGGGGTGGTAATTTGCCAGATGAGGGGTTCTACCTCAGTCACACCATGGTTGGGGCTGAGGTAAGAATTCGATTATGGCACCTCTAGATGACCAGAAATGGCACTCTCAGATTTTAAATTTGAATGTAATTCTCCTTTTTTCTCCTATTTTTTACCATTAAAAAAAATTTAGGGTGGGGAGGGGGAATCCCCCCTTAAATCCACCAATGAAAAATTAATGAGCACCCCAACCTGAAAATTATCGTATTCAGTTATCGCAATGGACAATGCTGCTGATGCAACATAATAGTACTTCACAATTCTTATCATATCAGCATTATCATATTAAATATGCCTATTAATTATTTTTAGTATCATCATACCACGGAATGATGTGTATTATTAGATACATGGTATTGGGTAGGACAAGTAGATCGCAATAGCGCAAACAAATTATGTTAGCATTCCGATAGTCATGGGTAAATAAAATTTATAAAAAGTGTACTATTCGATAGAAATGAATATAGATTCATAAATACAGTATATTCAAACAATAAACATAATACTATAACTATAATCTTCATACAAATATTTTTCATGGTATAATTTTATTTATTTATTCATCGAAAAAACCTCCAGACAAGGAGAAGATAAAACATACAATACATTAAAAATACATTTACAGAATTAATCGCAAAGAACAAGGAAATCACATATCAAATACATATGTAGGCCTATATACATACATATATACACATACATACCCACATATATACATATAAATACATACATATATATATATATATATATTTATATATATATATATATATATATATATATATATA